TTACAGATGACATTAAGTTTTTGGGGTGGCAAACTGTATCAAAGATGCTGCAGACTTACAGGGAGATTTAGATCATTTGATATACTGGGCCAATACGTGGCAGATGATGTTTAACTATCCAAAATGTAAGGTGATCCATATAGGTTTTCACAATTCAAATTATTTTTACAATTTAAATGGGAATACATTCAGTACCGTGATTGAAGAAAAAGATCTTGGTGTTGTGATCGAAATATCACTTAAGTCATCTTGTTTGTTTGTTTTTGATTATGCACAAAGCTGCACAAGGGATATCTGTGCTCTGCCCACCACGGGTATCGAAACCCGGTTTCTAGCGTTGTAAGTCCGCAGACATACCGCTGTGCTACTGGGGGCTTTAAGTCATCTAAACAGTTTATTGTAGCTAGCAATAGGGCTAATATGCTTTTGGGTAGTATCTATAGAAATATTGAATACAAGACAAGAGATGTTATTGTTTCACTGTATAGATCATGTGTAAGGCCTCATTTAGAGTACTGTGTATAGTTTTGGGCTCCCTTCCTCAAGAAGGACATTGAATTGTTGGAGAAGATCTAGAGAAGAGCTACTAGGATGATATCTGGGATGGTGGAATTGTCCTATGAGGAGAGACTAAAATCTCTTAACTTGTTTTCTCTGGAGAGGAGAAGGGTCAGAGGGGATTTGATTTAAGGGTATTGATAATATAGATCCATCAAACTTTTTTTGTGTTTAGCAATAAAAACAATAGGACAAGGGGTCATAAATTCAAATTGTGGCAGCATATGAGTCGTCTGCAGTTTAGACAGTAATACTTTTCAAACGGGGTGGTTGGCTTTTGGAATGAGCTGTCTTCAAGGGTGGCGGAGGCAGAAAATTTATCTGAGTTCAAGAAACGATTGGATGAATATACGAGTAGTAAGGGGTGGTAACAGTTGGGATCTAGAAGGAATATCCTTGATGGGCTAATAAGCTCCTTTTTGCCCCTTTAAAATGTTATGAATTTATGAATAATTTATTTTTAAAAAAAGGACTACGTGGAAATATTTAGAACATTTTTCAGCAATTTCTATGAATTGTCATTCAAGGAAATTAACATTTTCTACAAAGCTAAGAGTTCCTTCTAATTAACGATCAACTCCGCTAGTAACTCAAGTCAATTAAGCCTTACAGGACGACACGTGTTAGGTCACTTTGTAAACGTTTATCGACATCCTGACACCAACTGGCGACAGTTCAGCGTTAGCGTCCTCATCCTCCACATTATATTTGTCTGCTACTAGCAAGTAACAAAAGGACGTTGTATATCAAACTGTTTTATTTTGCCCGGGTCGTTAACCGTTACTTTCAACTCATCTCACTGGTGTCTTTTTTTAACTAAACTGAAAGATTAAAAACATCTCTTATCAGCTGTAGTACCAAATTATGCAAGCTTACATTAAATAAGAAACCCCGTATCAAGGTCAGTTCAGTTCTGCTAGGTCGATGATAGAGATCGACCCAGTAAAGCTTTATGTTGCCTTAAGCGTGGAACTGTACAGTTTAATATTGCCTATATTTATTATAAATTACCGCTGATCCACTAGAGGGGGGGCAATATTAAGAGAATTTCTCTAAATAGAAACTTAATAACGAATTAGTACAACACAATCTAGTTTTAGATCATATAGATTTATTAAGGTACGTAAGAAAAAATTATATTTTTTCGTTGTTTTCACAGATTATGAGTATGCGCATATGTTTCCATGCTTAATTTAAGTCATTAATCACGTGCAAATATTAAGAAGTTCGTTGAACATTTATCTCTCAAAGGCCACACATCAACCTTTAATACTCTGATTTGCAGTTTGATGTAATTGATGGTTTTCCTTTGTACAATATGCGTCTTATGAGCTTTACTTGTGATTATTATTTTAGCTCAGATTGGAAGTTTGTGAAACTGTCAGGCGTTGCACACATGATATTTCTCTCGCATACTTTCTGTTTTGGACGCAGAGGTCAGTGGTGCCACCAGGCGGAAAAATCCCTGCAGTATTTTTCATGACCAAAGAAAGACTAGAATGATAATGCCAAATCCAAAGGGTAAGTCTTAAGTCTCGAATTACCAATTTCATGTTACACCGATTCCTACCGATAGGGTATAGATATTGGATTATATTAGGTAATCAATTTTATTTATTTTTGCTTTTTAAAACACTCAGTGCAAAAAATTGACCAAAATAATTGAGTAACATTACTATTTTTCTCATACAGGGAATCTAATAGTTATTAATGGGATTAATTATAATACTGTTTGTATTTTTGTTTTAAGTTTTATTTTTGTATGTGACGTGTATGTTTTTAGGGACTCTGTAAACTAGGACATGGACCCACAAGCAAATTGTTGCATAAATAGTTTATAAAAATATGCTCGACGAGATCTGGAACTTATCGATACTTTTAGGATTGATCGGGCTACATTCAGTCATATTATGATATTAAAGTTAACGGTATAGGCGTTATAAATGTAGTAACAACTGACTTTTCGTTTCAAAATTTATGAACTTAGCAGCAATATTGTTTTTCGAATAATTATAAATGAGCATTACATAAAAATAAGCAAATAAGTATAAGAAATATTATTCAACAAAAGTTTGTGTCTGTGACCAATTATAACTGGCGAACTGCTCGACTGATTGTCACCAAACTTGGTACGTACCCGTACATCAAGTAACGATCCTCCTCCAAAAATAATGGACAACTCTAATAATTCACTAGTATATCTAAATCACGTGGTTGATGTACTTTCAATCGAAAAAGTACACTTAATTAAAACATAAACCGAAGCAGTCATCTATTACATGTAATAAATACACAGTTTTTGTGTCCCGAAAATGCGTGCGCAACTTACAATCTAAATGAGCATGCGCACGCACTAGATTTCAATAGATGTAAACAAAAGGTATTTGTAAATAATATACTTTAGTAGACATTACGTAAGACATATTAAAAGTTTATTAAAGTTTTCAAAAAGGCCTAACGTTAGGTCGTAGAATAACATTATACGTTTATTTATTGATAATATTAATTACGGTAAAGTTTAGACCTAACTAAACATAGGTGTAGAGGCGGGGGCCAGCCCCCGCCCCTCCCTAACTTACAATACATATGGCCATATGGGCAAAATTAAAAGCAGAAAATATGTTGATTCGGGCAGTTTTTACCTTCGTTCAGAGAAAAACTGGTAATAAAAGTTTCTTACTCATAACATCGTTCGAGAAAAAAATTGTATAACCCTTCTGAAATATCCTTACTCATAACATCGTTCGGGAAAAAAATTGTATAACCCTTCTGAAAGATCCCCCATACGCCTATGTAACTAAACTAAAGCAAAATATGTACACGAGTTACAGTGTTAATGATCTCTTTATCGAATATTGGTCGTACTTAAAAAAATGCTTAACTAATGTTAGGCCTAAGACAAAGTTGACTTATAGATTTCGATGTCTGCGTTTAGAATTATTTTGCATTGTTCTAGAAATCCTGTCTTTAAAGAAGTAATGTTGCAATAACGATAATAATTTGACCACAAACGTTAGTCTCTATTAGTGTCTGCCAGAACCATGTATCTAACGTGTAAACACATGATTAATTTAAACACATATTTTCTCGTTCTCAAAAAGCAGAGCAAAAGCTGACAATGCTGAAATAGACATATCGAAACTACACGTCAGTTTAAACGAAGAATATTGAGCAAATATCACAGGAGAGCAGTGCAAAAATCATCCGTTTAATGGCTTATTACATAGATTTTGCTCGAGAAACAGTTTAACAAAATTTGTTCTGTACCTATTTTTATGAAATCGCTTAAACGTTTTTTTATAAACAAGTTTTTGAGAAGCGACCTCTGATTTATAACTACAAATAGCCAAGACGATAATACTGAGGTTTCGTGAATGATATAATAAAATAAACACAAACTATGTTAAGGGCTATTCACCTTTGAAATTCTCGTACTTTTATCATATTAAACTAATTAAAACATCCCCACACTTATGACAAAAATGTAACAAACACTACCTCCGAAGAAAAAAAATATTATCGTAAGGTTTCCATGTATCATGTTTCAAAATCAAATCTAAGTCATTCGGTTTTTTTGTTTGTTTGTTTTCGGCCGAAAACTTCGGCATCCACAAACACTAATTCTGACTGACGCCAGAAATTTTAGTGGTGTTAGTGTTACTGAACTTTGTTATAGACTTTAGAGCTGTACGAATCGCCTACATAAGCAACAGCGATATTGATAACTAAGTCCCTCTGTTTCTTCATATCTATGGGTTGTTATATGTAACAAAACAAAATTCGTCACAAGAGTTTAGGTTTAAAAAATATTTCAAGACTCAAAAAAATAAAAAAATTGGGAGCCTGAAAGACAAGCCGGGGTGATCAGAAACGTTTGTTTCTCGCCACCCTCACGAACTGTAACTGTTATATGATTGCTGTGATTACACTTTTGTTTCTCGTCACCCTCACGAACTGTTAATGTTATATGATTGCTATGATTACACTTTTGTTTCTCGTCACCCTCATGAACTGTTAATGTTATATGATTAATGTGATTACACTTTTGTTTCTCGTCACCCTCACGAACTGTTAATGTTATATGATTGCTGTGATTACACTTTTGTTTCCCGTCACCCTCACGAACTGTTAATGTTATATGATTGCTGTGATTACACTTTTGTTTCTCGTCACCCTCACGAACTGTTATATGATTGCTGTGATTACACCTTTGTTTCTCGTCACCCTCACGAACTGTTAATGTTATATGATTGCTGTGATTACACCTTTGTTTGTCGTCACCCTCACGAACTGTTAATGTTATATGATTGCTGTGATTACACTTTTGTTTCTCGTCACCCTCACGAACTGTTAATGTTATATGATTGCTGTGATTACACTTTTATAGCTATAATGAAGTTTCGTATTCAAACTAATTTAAGAAAGGATAATTATTTTCTTACCTTTAATTTCTCGCGATGTATAGCACGCGCTCTAGAATTGCCCAGCCACTACACACGTCCGTTATGAAATGTGTAGTTTCCTGTATTTGATAAATAAAGCCACAAGGCGAGCCCTTAACGACTTCCTGACAAGTTGAATGCAGTTGGCGACTGGTAAATTTATAATACTCCCTCTACCGGATTATCTCCCCACATGTGTGTTGTTAACGGGATATCTTGGTTGGTTATTGCTGACTTTTTTTATCTTTGTTTTGTTTGATTTTCTATATTGTAATCAGAGACACTGAAACCTCCTACATATATCTCGTGAACAAAAAACGAAACAAACTCAAATATCCCAGCTTGAGTTATGGGAAACACTTGCGTTTCAGGATATTTGTATGTGTATGCGTATGCATATATAAATAATCCGCTCGATCTCTTTCGAAGGATTAGTAAAATATTCTTAGACCGCCATTTAAAAAAACAAGAAACAGCGAAAATCGGCGCCTCTGCACTTAATTAGCTTCCAGCCTCATGTTTACATGAATACAACCCTCGTTCTATGCGATTATGGTAATCTAAATAACAATATCATTACATAACATAAACATTCGGTTGAATATTTCAGAGAAAGAACGTAGCATAGAAGGAAATAATAATAATTTACTTTATATTTTTCTACAACTATATACCTCGTATGTGTACGTTTGCTGGCATGTTAGTCAACTGTAATTATTTCTTTGACCAGTATTTGTATGCTACGTGTTTTGTGTGGGTTTATGACAACGTGGTGGCTCAGCGGTAAGTCACTCGGCTTATAATGCTAAAAATAAGGTTTTGATACCAGTGGTGGGTAGAGTACAGATAGCCCATTGTGCAACTTTGTGCGCTATATCAAACACACATATAAACAGTCCAAATCCCATACAATAATACAGCTTCTAACGCAAACTACATAAAAAAATACAACCAGCTGCTACTGTTACAAATAAACGGAAGATATCCCATCGAATAACAGGCTTCTAACGGAAACCACGCGAAAAAAATACATAATCAGAGCTGAAATCCCATATAAACAGTCCAGCCCCCCTTCTGCCTTTTTGTGACAGTAGCAACTGGTTGTATTTTTTATGTAGTTTGCGTTAGAAGCTGTATTATTGTATGGGATTTCTTCTGCCTTTTTGTGACAGTATCAGTTGGTTGTCTTTTTCTGCGTGGTTATGTCAGAAGTTGAGTCGTTCGATGATATTGACTTGTTTGGTAATAGAAGATGTAACATTAGAATAGTTATTTTTATGGTTTCTTATAGTAGCGGCAAGTTTGGAGCGAACTTTTTGTACAATGCGTGGCAGGAATATTAATGTTTTCTGGGATCTTTCATCCTACTTGTAATAAGAATAGTAGTATTTAATAAACTCTTAGTGAGGGTTGAAGTCAGGAGCCCTAATTAATGTTTACTGGGATCTTTCGTTCTACTTGTAATAACAACAGTAGTACTTAATAGACTCTTAGTGAGGCTTGAAGTCAGGAGCCCTAACATAGGATAGGATTTCTTGTGTGGTTTTTTAACTTATCCTTCATTCTTGGATGGGATCTCTTAGTGATAGGACACCGTGTTATGTTTGGTGTAAAGAAACCGCGGTCAAGACCAAGAACATAGTTTTCAGTTTGTTGTGTGGTTTTTAACTTATCCTTCATTCTTGGATGGGATCTCTTAGTGATAGGACACCGTGTTATGTTTGGTGTAAAGAAACCGCGGTCAAGACCAAGAACATAGTTTTCAGTTTCTTGTGTGGTTTTTAACTTATCCTTCATTCTTGGATGGGATCTCTTAGTGATAGGACACCGCGTTATGTTTGGTGTAAAGAAACCGCGGTCAAGACCAAGAACATAGTTTTCAGTTTCTTGTGTGGT